GCCAGCGGCCCGCATCCGCTGCGCTCCCAGCTGCCCGCCGCCCTGGCCAGCCTGGTCGGCGCCCGACCCAGCCTGGCGGCGGCGGCCAGCCGCGGCCGCAAGCGGCGCCGCCGCTGATAGCGGCCCCGGGGGCCGTGCGGGCCCACATGCTGGCGGCTTTCCGCAAGGCTGTAGGCGCGGGGCGGCTGCACAGGCGGTTCGTCTTCGTCGAGCTGTTCTGCGGCAAGGGCTGCATCACGGCATCGCTGAAATCTGACGGCTTCTCGGCAATCGGGTTCGACATCGGCCGCGGTGCTCACGAAAATCATTTGGTGCATGAGTTTTTTGAGGTGCTTCATGGATGGGTCACATCCGGCTGCATAGCCGGCATTTGGCTCGGGACGCCTTGCACGACGTGGAGTCAGGCTTTGCGCCGGCCTCTGCGCTCGCGGCGGCATCCCATGGGGCTGCCTGGGCTTTCCGCGAGCGAGCTGGCGAGGCTGGAGGTGGGCAACTCGACCTTCAAATTCACTTGCAAGGTCATCCGCCTCGCTATGAAGTGGAAAGTAGCTGTGTACCTGGAGAATCCCGCGGGCTCCTTGATGTGGCACGCTCCTGAACTGGCCCGGCTTTTGCGGGCGCCTTGCGCCCAGAAGATCCAGTTTCACATGTGCCAGTACGGGGCGCCGTGGCGGAAGGCGACCAGCGTCGCCGCCTGGAACTCGCTGCCGTTGCTGAACCTCAGTATCCGTTGCTCTGGTCGATCTGGTATTTGCTCGATGTCTCAAAAACCACATGTGATTCTGTCCGGGCACGCCCCTCACGGTCCTCATTTCACTCGTCTGGCGGCTGAGTACCCCAAAGCGTTCGCCCAGAAGTTTAGTCGTGTGATGCAGCGATCGTTCGAAGATAAACGTGCTCGGAGGTTTTCAAAGTATGCAGTTGATATGGCATTGGGTTCATAAGGAAGTTATTCGGCCTCCTTCTGACTATCGACCAGTCGGCCAGTTCGCCATACGGGTATGGGTGTGTGCTCTCGGCTCGGCGTTCCTCGGCATCGATGTCTCGAAGTCACTTGCCTGGTCAGCCCCTCACACAAAAATGAGCCTGGCGGGAGAGAACGGTAGGCGAGCTGTCACATTTTACATGTTTAGGCATAGCCCATCCTGGATCCCGCCGCAACTGCCACGCTCAAGTCTTCCCTCCCTCCCCCCCTCTCTCGCGTGCCTCTGTGGGTGTGTGTCTGTGCTGTGCTTCTCTCTCCGTTCCCTCCTCTGTTATATTGCTCAGCAAGCTGTAAACGCAATTTCTTTCAGCAGGGTGTGTGCTCTCGGCTCGGCGTTCCTCGGCATCGATGTCTCGAAGTCACTTGCCTGGTCAGCCCCTCACACAAAAATGAGCCTGGCGGGAGAGAACGGTAGGCGAGCTATATATATTGCTCTCTCTCTCTCTCTCGTTCTCTCTCTCTCTCTCTCTCTCTCTCTCTCTCTCTCTCTCTCTCTCTCTCTCTCTCTCTAATATAAAAAAACACATGTCCCCTCTCTCTCACATCTCTCTCTCTCTCATTGCTATATATATAATATATATATATATTTAAATATATATATATTGTTCTCTGTTAATCTCTCTCTCGTCTCTCTCTCAACTTGTTTCTCCTCTCTCCCCCTTCTTTTAATTTTAATATTTAATAATTATGAACTATCTAAACTAGGTTATTAACTAAACTAATAGAACTTATTTCCATATCCGCTACCATCTCTCTCTCACTCTCTCTCTCTCTCTCACTCCTATCACTCTCTCTATATATATCGTTTGGTCCTCTCCTGATCTCTCTCTTTCTCTCGCTCTATCGCTCTCTCTCTTTCTCACATTCTCCGCACTCTCTCTATTTGTATATCACTCCCCATTTCTCTATAAGTGTCAATTCCTCTTTCTCTCTCTCCTCTCCCCGCCTCGTGGTGCATATCGATCCATCTGTCATTATATTTATATATATATATAATATATATATAAAAAATATATATATATATGTAGATGTCAATATCTCTCGTTGCTTGTTGTATTGTAGTTCTCTCTCTCTCTCTGTCTGTTTCTCTGTCTCCTTTTCTCTCTCTCTCTCTCTCTCTCCCCCTCTCTCTTTCTATCTCTTTCAGGCCCGACCCACCCTCCTTACACTTCCTGGGTGTGGAGCGGGAGTCGATATCGCGTGCTTGCTGGTAGGCTTATCCGTTCTGGGGAACCGCCTTGGACCCCCTTCCCAAATCGCACTCAACCTCGCAACCGAAGGAAACTCACTGTTCCAAGCCTCGGCGCTGCGAGGACTCGAGAGTCATAGCGCCGACAGGCCTTCTCAGCACTCTTGGACCCCACTCAGCGTCGCCAGTAATTTGCCATTGGATGGATTCATCTACCCAGTGAGTGTCCAAAGAGGTTGGACTGCGAGGGTCGGCACTTGGCCACGATACCACACAGTACGTCCCAGCCTGGGCTCCTGCCCCACGTTGCCAGCCGTGCAGCATTTTGTTTTTCATCGTCGGTGAATTGCCGCGTTCCTCTTCGAGCAGCCCCCTCCTCAGTCGAACAGGGCCCACGCAGGCGCCAGCTGCAACGGAACGTGGTGCCTCGTCGCGAAGTCCCCGGTCGGTCCTATCCCCGGCCCGTCGCAAATTTCCGTGGCGGCCTCTGCCTTCGGACTGTCCCTTCCTGGCCTTGCGTCTCTGCCCCGTCGCCGAACTCCTCGGGCGCCTCCGCCCCCCATCTGCCACCAGCGCATGCCGGCCCCGACTGCCACTGGCTTCCGTTCGCGTGCCCCGTGCGTTCCGATCGCCGCCGCATGCGTGCCGTTTGCTCCCATCTTCTTTTACACGGGCGCCAGCCGAAACCTCGGCTGAGGAGGAGGACAGAGGAGGAGGAGGAGGAGGAGGAGGTGGAGGAGGAGAAAAGATGATAGAGGACGAAGAGGAGGAGGAGGAATCTAAAGCAAGCTGGAAGTCTGAGGTCGCCGTGTCGGGTGAATGCGCCGATCTCGGCCAGCCCTGTGGCCCCAGATGGGGCCCAAGCCTTCGCGCTTCAACAGTGACATTGTATGCCAACACGCTCATGTGTGTTCGCTCGCTTCCAGACTTACTTCCAATGCCTACACGTGTGCAGTGCCATGTGGTTCAGAATGATATATACCCACATGCACCCATGGCTTACATGGGTTTCCAAACTCTTCCGTGAGATTCCCATGTCTTTGACTGCTTGGGGTCCGCGTGCGTAAGGAGTTGGGAGGGAGTCAGGGCTCAAGGTAATGAGGGAGCGTCGCAAAGGGGCGACAGAACGGAGGATCGCGAACGCGACAGGACAAGAGAGTGGGGAAAATCCCTGGAGAGCCATGCATTCAGTGCATCAACTAATAAACCTGTCTGCCAGCAGTTTCCCCACGGAAATTATTCACGCTGCGTGTGTCCCCACCATCTCATCCAGAAACAATTGCCAGGAAGCGTGCTAGGGACGCAGAACATGTGGGAACTGTTGTTAAATCATATGTGTGTATGTATGTATGCGTATATATAAATATATGTAAAATAATGTCCCCTTGCTGCCCCAGCTAAATATCTAGTTCTTCTGCGATGATGTCTTGGCGTGATCTTGCATTTTTCTTCGGCTTAAAGGCTTCTCGGGCATTTGATTTGTGTTGCGCCCAGGACCGGTAGGAGCGATTGCAAGGCGAGCTGCCGAATCAGGTAATCGGGAATTGAAGAACCCCCCCTTTTTTTGAACAGTGGGGTTCAAGGTTCATCACCAGCAAAAGAGGGGTCCCCTCTTTGCAAGGTTTTTTGCAGGGGGGCGGGGGGGCTGCAAAGACCCTGCAAAGTGGGCGTCTTGGAGGCCTCTTTCTTGGGCTCTTGGGCCCCATGGCTCACAAAGGGGGGGGTCCTCAATGCAGCTCCCTCCCTTGGAGGCTAAAAAAGGCGTCTTGGGGTCCTCTTGAGGCGCTCGTGGAGCGCTCTTAGGCGCTCTTGGGGCCTTCTTGGGGCCTCTTGGGGCCCTCTTTGGGCTCTCTTGCGCCGTCTTGGGGCGACCTTAAAGCCTCAAAGCCCATCGGAAGCGAAACAGCGACAAGGCAAAACACATGGATTTGCCTCAGGTGGTCGAAGGAGTTTGGCATTTTGGAGGGTCCTTAGAGGGCTCGGATGGCCCTTGGAAACGTCTTGGAGCTGTCTTGCAGGTATGCTGGAGGCTATCCTGAGCCATGAACCATCCTGGAGGCCATCTTAGAGTCTCTGAGGCCCTCTTCAAGCCATCCTGGGCCTTTTTGGGCGCTCTAACTACCCGCGCCCCCCCCCTCTCAGGCCCAGGGGTAGGGGGCAGGGGGAGAGGTCCAGCGACCCTCTTATATAGCAGGCCATCTAGCTCACTCCCACCCGCCCTCCCAACAGTAGCACTTGAGTGTCAGCAGATCGCCAAGGAACGTCACACATGCCATGCGCGCCACGGGTTCCAGGTGCACCAGGCACCCTGGAGGCCCAAGCGTGCCAGGTGCGGCACATGCCCCATTTGCGCCAACTGTGCCACGTGCTCCGGTCGCGCCAGATGGGCAAGCTACGAGGAACCAATAGGGACCCCAGGTGAATCCCCTGTAGCGAAGTGCCGAGCAATCGGTGAGAAGGGCGGCTCCTCCAGAGAGCGCAAAGCACTGGCACAGATGGACAAATCGCGAGATCCGTGAAACAGATGAGAACTCAAAGAAAAGAGGGCCCTGCGCATGCTCCAGATTTGGAGCCAAAGTGTATTGTGTATTGTTTTCTGACAGTGATGGTTGACTTTCGCGCAGCAAGCAATATGCCGACACCTCCGCCGTCCCTGTCAAAATCCATGCAAAGTGGTCGCGGGGAGCTCTCACATGCTCCAGATTTGGAGGGAAAGTGCAGGTTGTATTATTTTGTGCACGGGATGGTGGGGGGGCTCTCATTAGTCTGAGTTGGCTGCTGGTCGCTTGGGGGAGGGGGTGAGGAGGTCGCGAAGATGACGGTCAGGCCATCACGAGGGCGCTCCGGGGCGAAAGCGCCTTGGCTGCGTCCACGGACGAGCACCTTGCTGGCTTGAAGGCCGACCTCGTGGAGCTGCGCGTGGCGCTCGAGGACACGGGCCGAGAAGATGGCCCACACGCGTCACAAGAATATTGAAAAGTATGTATCGATGCTGGGCGAAGGTGTTTTGTGCCCTTGGCGGGGAGGTGACATTCCAGCCTGGGGTCTCGAAGGGTCATGGCCTCAATATGCCATCCCAGCGTGGTGGTCCCGGCTAGTTTCGGCTGGAACTGATAGTTGGACAAATCTGTCTCTCGATCTGGCGCTCTTCAGGCCGTCTAGGGGGCATTCTATGGACTTGTATATTTGAGCTCCTGGGCGCCTCTGGGAAGCCCTTTGCGGCGCCTTCGGGACGTAGGGGGGGAGGTCTCGAGACTGGAGGTGCCTGGGGCCGCCTGTGGGTGTCCTGGGGCCGCCCTTGGGAGCCAGGACGTCCTTTGTCTGAGGTCGCCTTGGGCCCCGAGGGTCCTTCGCCGCCCAGGGGGTGGTCTTGGGACCTGAGGCCGCCTGGAGGCTCTCTTCGCGTCTCCTGGATGGTTGGCGGGCTGTCCGGGGCCGCACGAAGGCTGCGTGGCGGCGCACTGCACCAGAGGCCATATTGGGCGCTCCAGGCAGGGCCTCGCCTTCGAGGGTAGAAGGAGTTGGCATCTCTTCCTCGGCGGAAGGCGGCGGAAGCAAAACGGGGGCGGCCCCGCCGGCGAAAGGAAGGCGGCGGAAGTAAAAGATGTGCCCACAAGGGATAGCAACATTTTTGGGTTCAGGGTGTCCCAGACCCGCCATTTGAGTTTTCAGGCGGGAACAGCACACGTCCCTTGCGTGCGCGGTCTACGCGTGTCTTCTCCGCTAAGCACCTGCCCTCCCTCCCCTGGTCGAAGCGTGTGCGAAAGCGCGGGGCGACACTGGATCCCAGTTAGCATTTTGTTGACGACAGAAATTGTCGTTGTCTGCAATGTTCATGCCTGTGGCATGCGATTGGGCGTCAGATCGCGGACGACGCGTCTGAGGGCTCCGGCCTGGCCGCGCAGGTCATCCAGGCCCCGGCTCTGCAAGAACCCCGCGCTCGCTCGCTCGCCATCCCCTGGGGGGGGCGGGAGGGAGGAAGGCAAGAGCGCGGGGGAGCGTCCTCACGGGACATACAGGAATGGAACAGTCATACATGTCCAACCCCTCCTCCTCACACCCCTTTCTTCTGATTGTTTTCCTCGTTGCGGATATCGTGACGCGAATGGTACGCGCGCGAGCTGGCAGACCAGACGTCGTAGTCCGAGGGACGCTAGCGTCACATGTGACTACTTGAGGATACAACTAGTTCATTTCCTACTCGCATGGGACGGGGCAGGGGGAGGTACGAGGTGAACCCGTACGGCTGTACTCCTCCTCTTCCTCCTCCTCCTCCTCCTCCTCCTCCTCCTCCTCCCCCTCCTCCGACACACACATCTATATGTATATATATATACATACATACATACATACATACATACATACATACATACATACATACATACATACATACA